TCAGACTGAATGAATAGGCACTTCTTACCTCGGTAAGAATGAGTCACTTCTGCAGAGTGCTAAGTGTCATTCAGCTGAGGACTGCAGGACTGAAAACCTGTAAATAAGTAATGGTTGGGCTATGCTACAAATCATAGAATCATAGAATAGTTTGGGTTGGAAGAGACCTTTAAAGGTCATCTAGTCCCAACCCCCCTGTATGGAGTTGAGAGGGCATGGAGTTGTCTCTCACATCCTATACTTTCTTTGACTCAAGCCTGAACAGCAGCAATAAAGAAGGAATGTAACTCAAGTGTGGAGGCACAAACTTATTCATAGGATTTGAGGCTGAAGAAAAAATGCAGAGATGAGACAAAGAAAACTGACAGTTGGGAGATAAAGATTGAGCACAGCCTGGGATGGGATCAAGATGGAAATTGAAGAGCAGGAAGGCAGAGTGGGATAATCTGGAAAGAAACTGGGAACATTAATTTACTTGGGCAGAAGTAGGAGGATTGACCATCTGACAGATGGCTCAAGAGAAAGTTTGGAACAAGAAGCCAAGCCAGGTGTTGAGCAGTCTGTGATTGAGAAAGCAGGGGAGGAAGCTGAACCAGGTAAGTTGGCTGCAAACTTGCTAAGATGGAAGATCAGATCAGAGAAAGAAATGGAGAAGCTGGGCTGCACTGAGCAGTCTGAAGTGGAGCCTGGAAATACCTAGATGGAACTGTGTGTGGGAGGAGAGGTCTTGAGTTCTTGGTGATTGACAGCAGTTGCACCAGGTCTGCTGGACAATGGTGTGCAGCAGCTACTCTTGTCGGTCGTGACCTGAGAAGCTAGAGCCTGAAGCAGTCTGATTCCTTTCAGACCCTCAACATGTTTTGATAAATATGAAATTACAAACATTTGATAAGGTTAACATTTTTGAGCTGTAATTTGCATCAGTTTTACAAACCATTTGCCTTCACAATATGTATTAATGCTATATAGTATTGACTAATACTAGTCAATAAACTGCCATGAATAGTATCATTCTACAGTACCTTTGTATCATTTAGTGCAATGCTTAGTGTTCACTTTTTCAGTGCTTATGCTTATTTCAAAATGTGACTATCTGTTATTTCTCATACGCTACTGAAATCCTGTTGTGAAGCTAGAATTTACTTCTTTAGAGGTAGTACTCCTGATAAATATTTTTGATTAATCTTCAAAATATGCCTGTTATCAAAGAAAATCCCATCCCAGATTGAGAGTAAAGATACTCCTGTGTATCCTTCCTATACTTCCTGTGGGAAGATTGAGAATATGCAGTAACTGTCATTGGCTGTTTTGACATGTTGAGAACTAGATTGTTCTAATATTTTTTTTTTCTGGTTATCTGGCTCCTTATGTCTAAAGTAGTTTCCACCAAATAGAATGTTTAGGTTCTGCATACAGATTGAATTTTTTTAGAAAAAGCTATACAGTTGGTAAAACTTCTACTACGAAGCACAAAGAATCTGAATTACCATCATGTCTTATTTCTGACACAGTCTCAAATTAATGAACAAGCTTAGAAAGAATCTGTTGAGGATGAACATATAAAAATAATACATAATATTTTCATAGTGGGATCTTAAGTGTTTTCCATAGTATTTTCTTTTTTCTTAAATTTTACAGGTTTTACCTGTGACCCTCTCGTTAAAAAAAATAAAATAGTTTTTAGCAGTTGAGAACTGTGAGTCACACACAGTCAAAGCCTGTGTGTGACTGCAAAATGTCGTTTTGTTTGCTCTTTAAGAATATTAGCTACCTCTTCATTTCTGGAAATGGCTATTTATTTTTTTCAGAATCTGAAGAGGATACGGCCCAGATCATTGAGACAAATGAGACCGATGATAAAGCACCAAGTCCTGAGCAGCTAAATGATAAGCTAGCTGAAGAAGTTGAAAAAGAAGAAGCAGAAAACATTTCAACAACTGAAGACTCTATTTCAGAGTCTGTTTCAGCTGAACCAAGTGAAGAATCTTTAATGAAAGCAGAATAAAGTACTTCAAGTGCCTTCTGTAGCTAGTTTTTAGCTTTGTTCATGCCTGTTGTTACTATTCAGGTGAGCTTTTTTTAATGGTACAACCTAAAAATCTTGCTTGAGCTTAAACTGCCTCAACTACCACAGTATGTCAAAGCTATGTGTAAAAGTGGGTATTGTAAATTAAGCATGTGTCTTTAAGTTAACACACAGAATGTATAGTTGGTTGAAGTCTAACAGTTGTAGTCATTGTTCAGTTTGCATATTTAGAAACTTCAAAGTATACGCTTTGCTAAGGGTGACCTATAATTTGACATCTCTTTAGCTGTCACACATAAAGAACAATCACTGGCAGCAGCTGACCCAGTAAGTTTAGTCTAGTGAACTTAAGATACTTTTTAATGCTTCCCTGTTAAAATGAATTGACTACACCTTAAATACACAGATGTTTACAAGCTAAAGCGTCATCCGACATATGACTTAAGTGTATGGAAGTGTCATTACAGTGGTGTTAATGTTATTAATTGTCTAACTTTTTGACAGAATTCAGTTAAATGGCACTCAGATAAATGGCATCTCCTTTGGTATTTGCATTGCAGATGAACCAGAGGCACATACATACAAAACTGTTTTGTGTTTACATAAAATATAGAAAGTCTCTGCACTTGATTGTACTTGAATACAAAGCACTATTTATACCTGTACAATAATGACAAGATATAAGTGAATTTTGTGCCTTTGTGTATTTTGTTAAAGGAAAATAAAGACATCTAGAAGCAATACTTGCTTTGTGATTTCTAAAACTGAACAGAATTTCTGATCTGCTGTATGCAGCTATTCTACAGTTACTTTGTGGAAGTTCAGAAGGCATATGACACTTTAAAAGGAGCATGTGTATATGTAGCTAAGGTGGGTTTGTTACAATAGAAATAGATCCCTGATCAATAGGGGAAGCGCATGTGCGTTTGCCAAAAGACTTTCCTAACAGTGCCCAGAGTTTGTTGATACTATTTATTGTTAAAATGACAATGAATATTTGCTGCTGGATTACTGAAACTGTACTTTTTTTATTGTATAACTTTTCAAGCTAAGGACACTTGTTATACATTAAATATAACAGCTGGGAATCTGGACTAGAATTTTTCTGGTGCCTGGAAGTGAGGTGCCTAAATCAATCAGACTTTTTTTTTTTTTAAATAAATGCTGACCATGTGTAGCTTGGTTGATTTAGGAATAGTTCTGATAAAAGTTTTGTGTGTGATGTTCTCTGTGTACCTCGCTGTATGGAGGGAAGGGAAAACTTACAAACATTTTTGTATCCATTGTCTTGGTCCCAAAGGGAACTGGTTTTACAGTGTAAAGGCAGCAAAAAGCTAAATCTTAGTAGCTCATAAAGCCCTTTACAAGAAAAACATGTTTCAAAATGTGACCTTAGTATCTATGTCTTTATACGAGACATAATTATGTCAACAGCAATGAATAATTTTCTTTTCCAAATATATGCTTTATTTTCTGATTCTCTGGGGTTAGTTTAGAAGCTCAACCCCTTATATCAGTCAGAATCCAGCTTGGTTTGTATTTAGATGAGTGACATTTTTTCCTGGTTCACTAACTAAATTGCAATTCATATTTTAATTAGTAGTCTTAATAGGCAGGAAGCAGACATGTGATTAAAGGAATACTTGCAGGTGTTTGTCTATATTTACATAAACAATTAGTAAAAACAGGTAACCATCTTGTGTGTGACTGTCTTAGATGAGAATACATAGAAAAACAGTCCCTTTTCCAAACATGTCTTAACAGTATGAGAAAAGTACAGGGTACAAAGTGATAGGGGAATGCAAGCTTTAATATTTTAAGAGAATGTATGTTATATTCCAGAACTTCCTTAAAATAGAAATAATTTTGCCTGGGAGGTGACAGAGTTTACTCACTATTTTGTAAGACTTTCAGATGTTAATCTCTACATTGCATTTTGTACCTCACTAATTTATTTGGAGAAAGAAAAAAAAATCACAGAATACTTCAGTAATTCAGCACAGTAAGTTGTTGGATGTACTTACAGTATAAGCACTAAACTAAATAAAATTTGATGTTATGATCCCACATATGGGATATGAATGCATGAATTACTGTCACTTCAGAAAGTAAGATTACTCTAGGCCCATGTATTATTTCCTTTTAAAAATGTGTATCTTAACTGTCAGGCTTTTTGTAGCGTAATTTTAGGTCCTTCCCATGACAAGCAAACACTGAGCTGTAATGCATGTAGTATCTATTGAATTGGCTGATAAAATAATCTGTTGATATTGGAGCTGTATATTAAAATTTCTTCCTTAATCTGGAAGATGTCTATTTTCAGATGTCCAGCTTTTGTCAAGGAAACTGATTCTTCTTAGGTGGTTGGGAATCTGATTTTTTTTTTTTTTTTTGAAAAAGGAGACTCAGTATCTGGTATGAGTTGGGGGAACGGGAAAGTGTTGTTTCCTCCAACATTAAATGTGACATTAGCAACTTGCCACAGCAATGATTGATACTTGCTGTTTAATATGTCACTGAAGGATGAAGTAAAGACAGTCAACCTGATATGAAAACAAATAACTTGTTAAAATGTGAAAACCTAGCTTTATGAGACCTAAGACTACCTAGAATTTTTGAGGAGGGGAAGAGTAAGTGAGTTTTAAGCGCATGGTGGAGTTTTTCTGAAAGATTTTCATACTGAAAAAAGTGTCCAAGCAGGTGTTGCCATTAATTGCTTCAGAAGGTGTGCTGGTTTTGGCTGGGGTAGAGTCAATTTTCTTCACAGTAGCTAGGATGGAGCTATGATTTGGATTTGCACTGGGAACAGTGTTGATAACACAGGGATGGTTGTTACTGCTGAGCAGTGCTTATACAGAGTCAAGGGGTAGGATGGCACAAGCCAGTAGGCTGGTACAAAAAGCTGGGGGAAGACACAGCCGGGACAGCTGACCCCAACTGACCAAAGGGATGTTCCACACCGTATGATGTCATGCTCAGCAATAAAGCTGTGGGGGCTGCTGCTGGGGACTGGCTGGGCATCGGGCAGCAGCTGGTGAGCAGTTGTCATTTGCATCACTTGTCTGTCTTGGATTTTATTTCTCTCTCTTTGTTATTTTCCTTTTCATTAAATAATAATAAATTTCAATTATTAAGCTGTTCTTAACCCACAATTTTTCTCACTTTTACCCTTCCAATTTTCTTCCCCTAATCCTGCTGGGGGGAGCAAGTGAGTAGCTGTGTGGTGCTTAGTTTCTGTCTGGGGTTAAAGCACAACAGAAGGCTTGAAAAAGGTGTTAAGGATGTCCTGGTATTTTGGTAGAGAAAGATCTGGTTTTAACTTTTTACATTTTCAGGGTTTTAATCAGCTATAGCAAGTGAGAGTAGAGGGTTAATTGGTCTGTAAGTGAATTCAGGCTCAGGGAGATACATACGATAGGTAATAGACTCTGGGCTTTCCTGAACTTACAGTAAGCATTCTCATGTTACTTCTGCCAAGTCCGTGTGCCCCAGACATGATAGGAATGTGAGAAGAGGATTCTGTTTCTGAAGCCGTTGCTTCTTGGCTTCTGTCTACTGCAAGTGTGTCAGTAGTAAAAGATGCCTGTCCAATAGGAGTTGTGACTGAAATCCAAAAATACCTGCCAGTGAACAGCAGCAGCCACACTTAGTCATAACTTTCTAACACCAAAAAACTTGGAAGTAAGAGTATGTAGAGCGAAAAGGTACAGCAATTGTCAGGGATACTTACTCCAACTGCAGACTGACCCTCAAAAGATGAGATGGAAGAAGGTAGAGGGAAAAATATACCAAACGCTATGGTTCCATGATTTGTTGTATTCTGACTTCCTAGTGTGTACTTGATTCTTATTTTTTTCAAAATTATTTAAAAGCCTGCTCCTGTGAAAATCTCATTTCTGAGAGGTGTTATACAAGCCCCCTTTCGTGCTGCAGCCTGGATAAAAAGCAAAATTGAGTGGGATAGTAATACTTGGCAAGCTTGGTAGTGCCATGTTTTTATTGCCTCTGAAGTAGTGTGAATAATTAGAGGTCTCCTTTTATTCAGATGTAGCTTATATATTAGGGAGAAATTATCTGGGCTATGTAAAATCTGCCATGAAAGACAAATGAGTGTTCTAGTTCAAAATAAATTGAAATGAGTCAGTTGGTCAAATTTAAGTTTTACTAATAAGCCTGCAGAACAGGGAAATGAGGGAATGTTACTTCAAATTCTATTATTTATTGTAAAGGAGAACACAATTGATTACCCTTGGACACTTTGACAGAAATAGATCATTTAGTGGAAACTTGGTCTGAAGATGGTTTGTCTCAAGAAAGCTGTTGAGCCTACACACAGGAAAAGCAGAAGCTCACAAGGAAAGGCAAAGAAAGATGATGTGGAAGCTGGTGGTTTATGGACTGGTCTAGAGGTTATCAAAAGCTTATAACTAGTGGCGCATATGGTTGCCCTGAAGTCAAGAACAAGAAAGTTGAACGCCACGTGGTGCATGCGTAGAAGCCAATGGAAGGATTTAAAGAAAAGAACGACAGTGAAGCAGATTGGGGGGTCGGAGGGAGAGTGGGTTTGTCTGTCAGAACAAGGTCTTAAGAGAGAAAAAAGATAAGAGCTTGAAAAGATTTTCCAGACAATGTAGCAGGGTTTGGCTGTTACTACATGGCAGCACATACCCCAGGTTAATACCATGTTCTTATGTCAGAAATAATAAGGATGCAATTATTATAAGGATGCAACTCGTGACAATGAGTCATATCAGAGAAACTTCTTGTCTTTTTTAGAGTTAATTCCAGATGAGATTAACTCGCTAAAATAAGACTGGCTAGCTATTACTAGAGACGATGGTAGCAAGGTTGCTCTTATCCTTTTTATTTAAAAATAAAAACTTAGAAATTCTTTTCTACTTCTAGGATTAGTTAAACTGTAGCAGTAATTAATTTTTATAACATTATTAACCTTCGAAGGCTAGGAGAAACACTTCTCT